CTCGATATTTTGACTACGGATGTGCCATACTACTTAAATGGCTCCGAGAAAGGGTCATCTAGGATATGCACAAATGAGTTTAAACATGCTAGCAATAGCTTTCAAGGCTTAATTAAATGTTTTAGCAGCCACTCCAAATGCATAATGCAAAGTTTTTGATAATAACTCAGTTTTATTAAATTGAAGATGGAGCGATCAATTGTGTGTACCCTCTGCAGGAGCCCTAGTAACATAACGTAACTTTGATTCTTGCATTTTTATGCTCTCCTAACAGTAGTTGCCAGCCGTATGGTCTTGATATTTTGCCCGCAGGTGGTCGCACTTCCTTACATAGACAAATCTAAATGTTGTTAGACTTATTTTCCATCATTGAGAGTAAGTATAATGGGGAACTTTAAATGCAACTGATCAATAAGTTGTTTTGTGCAAAATCCAGTAACGTTTAAGGGAAAGCTGAATTTCGGTTGGGCAATGAGTCTATCTGAAAGAAGACTATATAAAGCGTGAAGCTGTCTCTTTTGGTCTTAGTATGCCCGATTCTTTTACTGGAGGCTACCGTCTGCACTCGTTATTTCAAGAGAATGTCTCCATTTGTCACGGAGTCTGGCTGGGCCTACAGGATGCGATCACTTTGTTCAACTTCAAGACTCGCGCCATCACCGACCATTTCTCTCAACTGACTATTCGACATGAGCGACGCAAGACACGAGTCGGCCTCAGAGTTGCCGTGCTCTACCTGCTCGCCATTTTCGTTCTGCAACAGTGCCAGAACAGCCATGACACTGGCCTTCAACTGCGCTTCAGCATCTTCGCCGCGTGGACCCTGATGGGCTATCTGCTGATGAACCGATGCACCAACCGACTGTACGCTCTGCTCACCGGTCTGTTGGCTTTTGCGCCCTTTGTGCTGCTGTTCGTCCATGTGCCCAACGATCGCGATCAGGGACGCAACTTCTACGATCTCGTCCTTCTTCATTTGCTCGTCTTCACCATCCTCTTCACGCCGACCCGGGCACGATGGTGCCTCATCTACGCGACCACACTGATTGCTATTCATGAGATTCACGTGTTTTCCGAGTATGTAACAACTCCGACTGGCGCCACAGCAACTGGCGACTCGACGCAGAAATGTAGAAGTCCGGGGGCAGAAGAGTCGACACTGACCTTCCGTATCCGAGTCCTGATGATCACATTCATAATCATATTTTACAACAAGATTTGGCTTGAACTTCGACTAAGAGCCGCGTTTATACGTCTTTTGCAGAGCTTAACCGCCCGAAGTCGCCTCAGAGAAGCTCTGCGCGAACAACAGCGTTGGATCCGAGTTGTCATGCCCATTCAAGTGAGCAGCGACTATCTTAGAGTTAAGGCGATCAAGAACGGTCAGACGATCTACTGCCGAAGCTGTGATGGTGTCTCGATCCTTTTTGCCGACATTGTTGGCTTCACGGCCTTCAGTTCG